TAATCCTATTGTGCCAACCCATAAAATAACGTTTATTTGTATATGTTTATACCAACATAACGTTAATGTTATAAATTTCTCATTATATCTAATCTTTTTTTTTTTTTTTTTTTTATCTAAATAACGTATTATTTATTTAATTATTCAAACGGCTATTTTATCTGTTTTTGTACGATAATTCATAATAAGCAAACTATTTTATTCCAGATCGACAGTGGATGTACCAAATCTGTACACAGATCGGAAATTTTATAACATCGAATAAACAAAATCACTTATTTGGTAACACCATACCATTAAACTATTTTACAGATATGTGTAGAGATATTTTTGGAAAATTGTAAGTTGATAACAATATTTCTTAAAATTATTATTTATTATTAACTGCTATCGTTTATGGCCTCATACTCTGTCTTAAAGTAGAGTAAAGTTTCTAGTAAAGTTTTGCAATTTTTTCTTTCCCCTCAAACCGGTCTCTACCTAAGCGGTTATGACGTCGCTCGTATATAGGAGATGCGAGCAGCCAACGAAAACCGGTCGTATGATGTATTCTATTTGTAGATAGAGTATATATTTTAAATGTAAAGTTCATTCCAATTCCAAACATAATAAGTACTTATGATCAGGGCCGGATTTAAGGTTGTGGTGGCCCACATATGACGTATATGTTTAGGTATAAAGCATAGGYAATTCGTCATAATATATAACGAAATAAATAGCATTATATTTCATTTAATTATCTAAGTTAAGGTGGGGAGAAGATAGTGATAAGATGGCATGTAGATGGGTGGATGCTTTGGGTGTTCTCAGATTTTTAAAAAGTACTTTCATTTTCTTCAAGTAAATTTCTACGATCACTTCAAAAATTACAAACATTAATAATATGAGCATTTTGAGCGCACTGTAAGTCCTACCAATGCCACTATAACTTTACACAAAAGGCAAGATAATTTTTCAAATTATTATACTTCTTGTTTTCTCTTAAGGTATTTAAAAAATTATAATATACAAAGATTAAGCTTAAATAGCTTAGAACATTGTATAAAATTAGCTATGTCAAAAATCTAACAATAGCAATTTCTCAAAAATAATGCCACTTAAGGAAGGGTAGTTCTAATTGACTCACGTACAGAAAAAACTGATTGTTAGCTACTGTATGTCTGTATATTAATKTATTGTAAATTTGTCATTAAAACTAAATACGACGTCCCCTTTGCAGAACACAACAAAAAATAATGATATTCAACAAAAACCTAACCGTGAAAAAAGAGCCATATCCCCTCCCAAATATGTCCATCTATCAAAGTAAATAGTAAATATTCACATCTACATTGCAGTCAAGTCTACTCTTTCTCTTTCATATATGYCAGATATTATATTAATTGTTTTAACCCCTGGTTCTCATTGTAGTTAATGGTTACTGCGGTACTTGTTAAGATTGTAAAATGATGCCAGATTACTTAATTTTAAAATCTATATAATCAATATAAATAATTAAATGAACATAATTTTTTTTTTATTTAGTTATAACCTAAAGGCATTATACAAAGCAATTAAAAAAACAAATAAGATGTACCATGATTTAAAATATAAAACTAGCAGGGTTATTTATTTACACGGGTCTGCCGATGCATGGAATACATTAGGTCTTACTAAACTACAAACAAAAGACTCCATTTCAATTATCATTAAAGGTAACTAATTATTTGTACTTCTATATTAATATAATCACATAAAAAAAAAAACAGATTATTTAAAAAAAAGTTATTTATTTTTAGGAGTAGCTCATTGTGCAGATACATATCCGACTCGTTCA